CCTTACAAACAGAATGAGCTCATGAACTTCCTAGACTGTAAAATACCTTTATTTCACTTCAGTGGAAAGGTTTAAGAGTAGTAATTATAACATTCTTTGTATCTGTCATGCCTAAAATCCAATATACTCAGGGTGTTTAATAAATATTTCATTACAAGCAACAGGCAGGTAAGCAGCCCTCAGCCTACAAACTAAAGATGTTATTTGGGTTGGTTTCTGTGCCAGTCAACAAGACCATGAATTTTTTATGACCTGTAGAAGCCACTTTCCTCATTAGCCAAAATCTGCCACTACCCCACCCCCACTGTAGTAAAATACCACCAACTAAGGCACTTGACTGCTAACCAGAAGGCTGGCGGTTCAAACCCACCAGCCACTCCTCGGGAGGAAGGTTGGGCAATCTACTTCCATAGTGATTCTGCCTCGGAAACCCAAGGAGGGTCGCTATGAGTCGGGTCTGATTGGATGGCACATAACAGGAGGCCATCAAGCTATAAGTAGTAATAATTCCCTCTTAACAGCACAACACATAGTTACTTTAATTATACGCTATCATGTAATGTCTACTAATAATCTCTTTGGCATGATACCTGCCACCATAAACATAAAAAGAGTTAACAAATTTCCTGTGTCAGTATCATCCCCTGCTTCAGTCCCCCTCAATCACATACATACCTTTAAAGCGGAAAAAAAAAAGCTGGGATGAATTGCATTTACTACCCTTCACAAGTCAATCCTCTTCGAGTGGTGGATTTGCTGCACTCCATCTATATAATTAATATCCACATAATTTCTTCAATACTATAATACCAAAAACAGATGCCAAATCTGATGCCTTTAATTTACAAATTTTGCTCACTTTCACTCAAACTTTTTATAGTCATCAGATCTATGTACGTGAAATGTTTCGTTCACATGACCAGGGCGAAGAAACACACAATTCTGAATTTCAACATGTTTCAAGTGTCAGCAAATTTCCAAAGTCATTTTTTCATAGGTTAGTATGATGCAGTGATTTCTAAAACATCAATTAAGAAAACATAACGGCTTGTAATGGCTTCTACAGCAAAAGGACCAAGCTGCACTTAACAGTATTCAAGTCTCTGGGAATGCGGGGTTCGGAAGGACTTATAAACCAGTATACCTGGTAAGGATGGCAATAGGTTCCGCCTAAGGCACTTGACTGCTAACCAGAAGGCTGACGGTTCAAACCCACCAGCCACTCCTCTGAAGGTTGGGCAATCTACTTCCGTAGTGATACTGCCTCGGAAACCCAAGGAGGGGTCGCTGTGAGTCGGGTCCGACTCCACAGCATTTAACAACGAAAACAGCAAACTCCTCGGCACCACCCCTACGTACTTTACTTCCCTTCCGCCACACAAGGAGCACAGAGCCTAGGCGAGGGCTGGGTATTTATAGGATCTATAAGAGCCACGAAGCCAGAGCGCGACCCCGGGCCACGGACGGTGCCGACTCGCATATCACGCACATCCCGCTTGCTCCCGCGGCCCTGCCCTCTCTGCACGCCATCCCTACCCGGAACCCGGATCTTCCAGACTTCAGGCTCTGTTGGTTCCCGCCTCCGGCTTTCCACATCAGACGCAGTTTAGCTCAGTCCATTCCAGCCCCCTCCCTCCCACATCCCTCTCAGCGGACAGTCTAACCCCGCCTCCGCTCTCTCTGCTGAAACTCAAGGCGCGAACAGTAGCCCCACCCCTTTCTCCCTCCCCTCGGCTGGCACCATAGAGACGCCACGCGTGGCCAGAGCGGCTCTAGCCGGCAAAGTCCGCCAAAGCCCTAGGGGTACTACCCAATTGTGAGCTGAAGGCAAGGCACTCGCCTTTTGGTCGCGCGGGTGATACTTCGATTTTTCCCTGGCTTTGCCCCAAAAAGGAGACCTTTGGGACGACTGAGTGGGATGTGAAAAGTGCCTTGTTAGTTTCCCTCTGTCAAATCTGAGGATTCGTTTCTCCGCTTACCCCGCGCCATGTGACACACACAGCGGCTGACCTCTCCACCCGGCGCCCAAGTGGTGGCCAGATGGAGTGCGTTATAGGCCTTATCCCTCAGACTATTGAGATAGGAAAAACAGGGCGTCGTGAGTCCTGAGATCTGTCCGATTTCCTTCACTGGATACTTCAAGGTGGACGTCAGTTTTTCACCAGCCGATGGGACCGCGCGATCTCGCAGATCTGATGCTCTTCTATGACACTTTACCGCCCCCTTGGGGATCTCTTGATAATTATTTTTGCCATTATGTACGCTGGGGACCTGCTCTTGTGACTAGCAGTACACTGATGGAACATTTAATCATGACCATTGTTGTTATGTGCCATCGAGTGGGACCGACTCATAACGGCCCCTCCTTGGGTTTCCGAGACAGTATCACTACGGAAGTAGATTGCCCAACCTTTCTTCCGAGGAGTGGCTGGTGGGTTTGAGCCGCCAGCCTTCTGGTTAGCAGTTAAGTGCCTTAGCCACTGTGCTACCAGAGCTCCCAATCATGACCATTAAATGCTCTTTAAAAAAAAAAAAAAAATGATCTTATTTTC